CTTTGGAAACGCGATCTCGGCTTTCCCCCATCACCAACGCCTTTCCCCCTCAAGCTTCCTATTTGGCCTTCGGTAGGCCAAGCAAGCTAACGTTAGGTCGCTCACACGAATTCGGCGCTTGTCTCGGAGGATAAACTAGTCCAATTGGAAACGCAACCGCCCAATTCTCAACGGAACGTGGTCGATAGGTGTGGGGAACAACGGAAGCACCGATCGAACCTTTCAAGCTTCTGCCTATCACGTCGCACACCAGTCATTCGACTTTGGGTTGGAGTTGGACTTTGGCATAATACAGGGGAGGACTTTTGTCCTTTTTTGAAGGTAGGCACATCTACCGCCTTGCGCGGAGAGTCTAGTCGAGTCTTATGTCTCTGAGCTTCGACTGAACTCCCGTGTGGCGCAATCCAATAATCACATCCCTGACTCAGATCGAAGACACGTCCTTGATGCGTCGAGTCCCTTAAACCAGTCCAGCTCGCAATGAACCGTTGCTAACCATCATAGCGCTAGGTCGTTGTCGTTACCGGACGTAAACCATGGGTTGCTTAGTTTCGAAGCCCGAGGAGGCTGATAAGGATGCTTTCCAGCGAAATGCGCGCATTGACCGGGCTATCAAGAATGACAAGAAGACGCTGGACCGGACCATCAAGATTCTGTTATTAGGTGGGTGATTCTCGGTCGCTAGTTGTCGGCTTGCTTCAGTGTCGCGTTACTAACAAAGTGCTCAGGAGCGGGAGAGTCCGGCAAGTCCACCATTATCAAGCAGATGCGAATTATTCACAGTCGGGGCTTCCCTGAGGAAGAGCGTCACCAAACCCGTGCTATAATCTACTCGAACATCGTCATTGCGTTCAAGGTGTTGTTGGATATCATGAATGCCGAGGATATTGATTTCGAGAACGAGGAAAAGACCAAGGTAGTACCCACTCTTCTCAAGAAACCGACGTCACCTAACGAGGTTTGAAAGCCATTTGCGGACCTATTAGACAATACGGACCCAGATGTAGGGTCCGACGAAGCCTTCTCCGATCTCGAGGTTCGCGATGCGATGAGGGCCATGTGGAAGGATGGAGGTGTGCAGAAGGCCGTTGCGCGCGGGCACGAATTTGCTCTCCATGACAACTTGCACTTGTAAGTCGAATTGGCGTTACATTACATGAGCCTAGGCTGATAGAACTTAGTTTCTATGAATCTCTCGATCGCATATTCACCCCGGGCTGGCTTCCTGATAACCAGGACATGCTGCAGGCTCGACTTCGGACAACGGGTATTACGGAAACTCTGTTTGAGCTCGGGCAGATGAACTTCCGCATGATGGATGTTGGAGGACAGCGGTCAGAGCGGAAGAAATGGATCCATTGCTTTGAGGGCGTCCAATGTCTGTTGTTCATGGTCGCCTTATCTGGTTACGACCAATGTCTGGTCGAAGATCAGAACGCCGTAAGCACGGCTTTCCCAATTTCCTCGCTCGCACCGCTAATGACATTTTGCAGAATCAAATGCACGAGGCCATGATGTTATTCGAATCGTTAGTAAACGGTGAATGGTTCAAGCGCAAACCAATAATTCTATTCCTCAACAAGATTGATCTATTCAAAGGAAAACTCGCCATCTCCTCTATCTCCAAGCACTTCCCAGATTATACCGGCTCTGACACCGACTATGATGCCTCGGCACAGTACTTTGCAGACCGATTCCGTGGCATCAACCGCATCCCAGACCGCGAAATCTATATCCATTACACTAACGCAACCGATACAACGTTACTCAAGGCGACTATGGATTCAGTACAAGACATGATCATTCAGAAGAATCTGCATACCTTAATACTATAAGGCAGAGGCCCTCAAATTCCCGAGGCATTCCCCATGACCGTCTGTCACGATGATTTTCTTTTTCTTTTTCTTCTTTTTCTCTTCATTTCCTATTTCTCAAGCTCTTCAGCCTACCAGTTATTTTCCGGTTGCATTCCAGGGCGGCTACTATTCGTTCACTCCTTCGTGATCATTGTCATATCTCATTTTCTGCTTTCTTTAGTTCTTGTTTTTAACGAGGCGTCTTGACCGAGAGGTTGTTGTCTGCTCTCTGCTCACATCATTGGGTCTACCATGTTGCATCCAAAAGCCTATCCGATTTCGCCAACTAATGCCCACACTTCGGTTTAGCGACTGTGTCGTTGCCATCCCCACCTTTCTCTTCCTTTTTTGTTTTAATGCAGAGTGATACCATTTGTTTGTCTTTGCAGCTGTGTTTACTAACCCCTGCTCTGTATTATCACTATCATTCTGGGTCTTTATTTACTATATCTTATCATCTCTAAATGAACTCGATATCAATCATGCTCTTTCGTGAGCAACTTTTTTTTCGCTCTTCGGACTCCAGTCTCAATGTAACTTCAAAAGATAGGTATAGTCACAGAGTGCTCAGACCAGTTACCATCAGATGCCTTGCTGTAGATCACACGACATGGACCATTTCTCCAGAGGTGCACGGCGTAGAAATCTAGAATCCAACAATGTACCAGGTGACTCGACAACGTACATATGTAGCATGGCCAATATGTATAGAAGACTGGGTTCTGCCCATCAAGTCGAATCACGAGTTCAGGTTGCCGTACGTCTTCATGAACTATCTATGCGCCTTAGGCATCAATATTACATAATCATCCGCATGATCAGTGACCCAGGGTTCCGGACCGACTGATTTCGCCTCCGATTCAGACTCATTCACCTCCCAGTGACTGGGTTATTTATCAACCATGTTGTCAACATCCTTACGCCGGGCAGCATGGACTCCCATGCCGCTTCCCGGCATTACCCGCTCCGGTCAAAATCTTACCAGCAGCTTGCTCGGCGCAACCCGACCTCTGCACCAACGCCGGTATTCCTCCTCATCCTCCAAACCGCCCGTCCCGCCCAGCGATGGCTCCCGACGAATGGACACCTCTGCCCCGGCAAAGGGGGTCAACTCATCTAGCGAGAAAAACAAGGCTAACCGCCGTCGGGGGAAGGACAGCTCTGCCCGAAATGGATCTTCAAAGTCTAGCCGACATACGGCATTTTCCAACCTCCCAAGTGTTCCCTCGACACAGCACCGACAGCCACATGGTTAGTTCTCAAATCCCAGCCAGCTCCATAAATGATCTTCGTTTCCGCAAAGAAATAGCCTGAAGCTAACTTTTCTTTGTTCGCTGCTAGACGTCCATGTAGCATCGTTCTTCTCCATCCACCGACCAATCTCGGTGACGACCACCGTGCCCCCGACATCGAGCACCGATGCGTTCGAAGCGATCTTCTCGTCAAAGCGGCCACTGAAGAACGAGCCGGAGGACGTCATCTTCACTCTTTCCTCAGCCGTGCAGTCGATGGAAACTGGCTCTCAGGGCATGTCAGAGTCCGAAGAACAGTTCCGGAGCTTCAGTGAACAGGATGGCGAACTCCGCATGCTGGATGGCCCCGACGCAAAGATGTCCGTTGAGGAATTCACCCGTCGTCTTCGCCCATTCCAGCCTCCTCCCCCGCCCGTCCCCATGAACGCGTCCGCTGCCGAGAATGCTGAGTCCACCGACACTCAGATCGACAACGAGTACCAGACCTACTCGACCGTCTTGACTATCCGCGAGGCTCGTCACGCCGACGGCCGCAAGACCTACGAGGCACACACGGGACCTTTCGTTCGCAGCGGAGAGATGGAGGACCCATCTGATATGCGCGACGAGATCTCCATCGAGGCACCCTCTGATTCCACCGCAGTTATGACATACATGGAACGTCTGCGCAACAACCGCACCATGCATGCCATCAGCACGATGAGACGGCGCAAGGCCAAGATGAAGAAGCACAAGTTCAAGAAGTTGATGAAGAGGACGCGTACCCTGAGACGGAAACTCGACAAGTAGACTCGTGCTTGAGATTTCCTGGTTTACTTTTGTTCTTTTTGCTATCAGTTGCATCTTGCCTCCGCCTATGCATTTTGGGCCGTGGCTAGTCTTGTGAGAGTTTCAGGGCATATATCCTTGTTTTCGTACATCTTTTTATTACTTTCCCGTTCTCCCCTACCTATTCTCTCTCGCCTATACTCGATCAAATATCCACACGTACCTCTCTTCCCTTGGTCTTTTACTGCGAACTGTTGTACTCGCGCAGAAGTGCGACTTTGGCTTCTGTGTTATGTGGGCATTAACGCTCCCCATGCATTGCAGATAAGACAATAGATCTTGATTACTTCATTTCTGTTATGGCTGCTGCTTTGTCTAATTTGGTCTCTGTTTTATCTCAGTAAATCTGACCATGTAGCAAAGAGCAGGGAATGTCTCGATTTGAAATCATCATTTCTTATACACTTGCCCACAATATTCCAACAGCTGGAAATCATACATACCCCAAGAATTTGTCTATGAGTGACAACACCGTAAGGCTAAATGCACACATCGGGTCTACTGTCCTACCCAACCGAAACCCTAGACGACAAAGGCCATCGATCAAAAGAATTAAGCAATCCCGAGATAGAAGAATCATATGTCCACAAGAAACATTTGAGGACAGAGAGGGAGAAGTAAAGAAACAAGAAACTCCTTCAGAAGATCCTGCCAAACCACCATAATGGAAGAGAGGACGGAGACGTAAGTCCCGGACCAGCGAATTTCATATAAAGTACAGAGTCCAGCGCGGTGTCATGCAATGTAAAGCCAAAAAAATCCAATATCTACCCACAGCTATCCACCGAGTCCAGGACGAATGCTTGAACAGATTCCCGATTCTACATCCACTCAATCATCGAATCTTCACTCTCAAATGGGCTGAAATCAATTCATCATTCTCCGATGTCGTCCGATCCTGTACCCGCACCAACTTATCATGTCAGCTTCCCCGGCTGAAGAGGCACATTGGTTTGCGTCGGGGAAATGTTGAGAATGCACATCCGGGAATGAACCAGGAATCGCATGCAGTCATGGCGCGACTCAAGGTCCCTTGCCCGGAATGCGGCGGGAGGTCTTTCGTTTAGCAGTTTGCTTTCGAGCGGGAGTTCATGAGAAGAGCAACAATCAACCCGTACAGACCTGCGAGCGGGCAAGTGGTTAGATGCGATTATAAATATTGGCAGATTAGTATAGGGGGCAGCAACGACTTACCCAAGACTTCAGCGAAAATGAGAATCAGAATCATTCCGACATACAGTCTAGGCTGTTGGGCCGTTCCACGAACACCCGCGTCACCAACAATACCAATAGCGAAGCTGCCGTCAAAGTTAGGAACAAGGCCCTAGAACAATGGGAGACACCCTGTGTCGCAAACTTACCCCGCAGCAAGACCAGCCAGACCGACAGACAGACCAGCACCGAGCTGGATGAAACCAGTGTAGAGAGGAAGCTGCTGGGTCAAGTCGTTGGCGACCAGGACCGACACGACAAGACCGTAGATACCAATGATACCCGCCATGACAATGGGGACAATGTCTGGAAACCGAGTCAGCGAATTGTTGGCATATATCCTTGCGCGAGACTAGGAATATATCATTGCCAGATCGTCAGAGCTCTGGTTGAGATCGACGTACTCTTAACGATTAGGTCGGGGCGGAGGACCGCCATGGAGCAAACTCCGACACCGGCCTTAGCAGTTCCATATGCGGCACCGAAGCAGGTGAAAACAATAGCGGAGGTGCAGCCCAGCGCGCCAAAGAAGGGCTAAAGGAAGAAGATTAGTTATCATTCCGATGCATGGTGAGCAGGTGGATGACGCGGAGGGGCCGAGACATGGGCGATTGGCTTGGTCATGCTCGGGTGTCGGGATCTAGCATATAGAAAGACTCACCGCATAGACGGGGCTGTCAAAATCCAAATGTTAGCAAGGTTGATCCATAAATACTGGAGAATGACGGGCGTGATAGCAAGGTGTCGATTGGAAGCTGTCGAGCACCCAGGGGCTGGAGGGAGATCTGGCTGATGACTTACCAAAGTTCAGTCGCCATTTTGATGAAAGACGACCCAACGAGGTTCTCGTAGAGTAATTTGAGCTTTAAAAAGAAATAGAAACACCCGAGGTCGGCAAGCTCAGTTGGATGCGGTCGGGGAGGATGGAGATTCCAGAGGCTTGGAGGTCGACGGCAAACATGCTGGCCTCTCTGGGTCACGTGTAATGTCTTGGCGTATCCACCTGGACAGGTAATGACTACAGCATCTGTGACATGTATAATATTCAGCTTTGATGGGTTTGTTCAATTGACGATGTATTGCATTATTGTACATGTATCATTTTATTTATACAGTTTTGAGGACAACTCGAGATCCTGGAATATCCAGTTTCGTGCACGACTCCGACTCCATTTCTCCTTTGATGGGCTGCGAGTAGGCAATCGCCTTCTCGGACAATGCTCCAAAGGTACGAGGCAGAGAAATGATCCCATTGCTGTCCTCATGCGTGGCATGTGTCTCAAGTTCCATAGAATCAGCTACCATTCCAAAGTGATAGCTGATAGGCTCTTCCTGCGAGTCATGATTGCTCGAAACTTTACCCTGTGCCCCAGTCGGTTCTACCGACACAAAGAACTGAATATAATCACCTGCGGTAGCAACCTGTGAAAGTAGAGATAGATCATCTACAGTAATCCCCTTATCAATAGAAGGGAGTGTGTCCAACTGTGTGATATCAGGATCAAAAACTTGACTCAATGCGACAAGATCGTGTCGGTTGGCAGTGCCCGAGAAGCAGACTTCGGGATCCAGCGAAAGAAGGCCTTGCTTCTTTCCCCATCCACCTCCACCGCTCATGACACGGTGCAATTTCCCACCTTGGTGCAGAGATTGGATCAAGCGATCATGGGTAGATGAACCTGAATCAGCCACCTGCAAGTCAGGTTTCTCAACGAGTGCCCATACGGATACACGCTGGTCAATGATATTATGTTCTGCGATGTAACGGGGAAGTTCCTTCTCGAGCTCCGACGAAGCAGGCATTGTGTCCATTGACCTCACATCCGTTGATTTTGCTAGTTGCCGTAAAATGTTTCCCATGCTAGTCATGACTCTCCGTCGTTCGGTGACTGGATGCAATGGCAACTCCAATGCGGTATCTACAGCCTGGGAAGTGGCTGTGACCATGCAGCTTGTGAAATCGGTCGAATTGTCCAAAGCATATCTGTTTGAGGTTTTATCCCAAAGCCAGCGTGTACCAAATATTGTGGTTTCTCTCCCATTGACAAATATAGTGTTCGCTAGGCGCAATCCAACCTCGTGCGCAGGTTGACCAATCATTTCGGTTTGGAATGAAAACGAGAGATTGGCTTCCTCACTGGCAGAGCTTCTGATAAGACGGGGTGGTGCAGCCTTTGCCTGGACACCTGATTGCCCTACTGCCAGAAGCGACAGTCCTTCAGACTCACTTAAATTTGGGCTTCCGGATGTAGTATTCGGGAGTGCGTCGACCACGGCTGTAACGGCATAGAGGGTATCGTTGCCTGGTGAGTCGCCGTAAAGGCGACTGAGAAATTGCGACAAGAAAGGGCTAGAAGAATCAAGCCAGTGGGCGAAGCTTGGGGTGACGAGGAGGAGAGGGACAGAAGCGGGTGCACCTGATGGGCTCACAGGCCCTGAAGGAAGACTGGTCAAAATATCATCTGGCGTCTGTTGCTATTTAGCTTAAGAAGCAAAAGTGTAGAAATATTGATTTTGCTCACTGTCTCTTCTGCTGTCTTTGCGAGCCATGTGTATGCCAAAGGCCGCCCACCTTTGGCCAGATTCTGTGTCGCGTACCATCTATTTGTGCGACCGAAGCTTCCGGAGGCTTTGCATGAGCCTCGAAGCTGCCAGCGTCCGGAATTGAGGACTACCCTCATCTGTTTGAGGCTCATTGACATTGAGAGATCAAGGTCAAAGCTGGTCCAATTAGGAAAATGCGGAAGTCATTGCGGAGGATAGTGGGTCAGTCGCGGAGCGGAATATCTGTTTTTACATATATACTCAGATCACAATGTACAATACGGAGTGTACGATACTATAACGCAACATACTTGGCATGAGCTTCAGATTGATTTGTTCGAGGTTGAGCTAAGCTTATTCTTGATACAGAAGGGTGTAAGTCCTCAATATAGTACGCTAACCCTATTAAGCAAGAGCCTTCGTAAAGACTACGGAGATCTCTGAATATATTCCATGGTTATATATAGAAAAGCCATCTATACATTTTATACGTTCTAACAATATATCCAAAAAAATCCAAAAAGAGACATGGCAAGGCCGCATAAGCGGCCGACTTTTCCTATTCACCTTATACTTGTGCTTCCAAGGTTTAGACAAATTAAGAATATTGACGATGCAGCGAGATGCTTAGGCAATGATGGCCGTCCGATTATAATAATGAACTAGTGGAATCGATTGTCCTTGTCTTGCGGAGCCTGAGAGCCCCGGAGATCAGAGGGCTTTTCAAATACAGGTTCCCACTAGCAAAGATCAAACGGCTACAGCCCTGGCTATGCAGCCTGTACCTAAGTGAATATCTCGTTGGCGCACTTATGGGCAGGACATACCAAGGCGTTCTAGGGGGGTCCGCAAAAAGGCACCTATCTCTTCCATCTGAAGCATTCACAGATATGAACATGAATTATTTAAAACCAACCCACCATATCGCGAGGCTTGAAAGGCCAGGGTGCCGCTCACAGGACGCCAGAGAAGTCGAAGGGGAATCTAGACCACTGGTCCAGGGCCTTCTGAAGAACACGCAGATGCTCTATCAACATTAGAAAAGCAGCGGCCCTGAACATCAAGTCTGGAGGGTGGGTCTCCTGCAGGAAGTAAAGAAGCACTTGTAGCGACTCGTGAAACTCTAGACTCACTGCGAGTGGGGACTTGACCGATGACATTGGAGGAGGAGGAGGCGACAGCTTTAGTCAGAGTTTGTGGCTGTCGCACCAGATCTAGACGTCCCGTAGTGGAACTGCCGAGGTCCTTGTTATGTTGTAGGCGATGTCGATTTGCCCAGGCTGGAAAACGATGTGTAAACCCGGCTTTGATCAGTCTGTTGACTACAATATGTGTGCTAGTAGTTTTCCCTCTAAATTATGTATAGAACACGTGTACAGAGTCCCTCACCTCGATGCTTATCTCTTTGTGGTGTCACTAACAAGCATCCCCAGCCACTTTTCTATTTCAGTGAAGTCATAAACGCCAACCATGCCGATACCAGGCGCTTGGCAGGTGGGGGCTAGGGCGCATCATAAGGATAGGGCTGAGCTGCCTGGCCACGACCTAGAGCAAGTACTTGGCAGACCTAACAAGTAAAGATTCACGCCAAGGTCACAGGTGACGGTGTTTGTAGAGATCGTCACTATCATGAGACTTCTGACTGCAGCATGGGCGCATAGCTACATATTACGGAGTACATGTAGGTAAGAAAAAACCCCGTACTCCGTACTGTACGACATTGTTGTATACAGTCAAATATAGAAAAACAAAAAAATTTGAAAATCCAAAATTGAAAATTGAAATGCAGGCCAATTCCCAGCGCCAAGGTTCCTCCAGGCAGCGAGCAAAAGAATGAACGGGATAGGTGAGAGAACCTGGTGATAGCCGCCAGCACAGAAGATCATTCTCTTGGCAACCCTAGACAGAATGCAACAATTGTAGGCAGTAGTAATAGTGATGGCCAAGTTAAAATTAAAATATTAAGAAAAATCAACGAAGTAACAAAATAAAAGGCACTTTCATAATCTAAGCCACATTTGCAGCCTTGACGTGCCAAAACGGTCCAGAGTTGTATTTTTCCCAATTTCTTTTTTTTTTCCTTTTCTATGAGCCACACCGGGGCCCATGATGTAATGACCCAAGCTCTCAGCCTTGTCCTCCCCTTTAAGACTTCCCTCCCCTTCCCTTCCCATTTTCCCCCGAACATTTCGAACCATCAAATCTGCCCAAAATGCCTTTCACCGCCTCGTAAGTTGTTGTCTATCTATGGATGCTATGTGCGATGGCTTCTAAGAGCTTCTACCTGCCCTGTCACCCTGTCACCCTCCATCTCAGCGCTCTTCAACTCCCATTGTTGCCTATGAGTCCATGCCCAGTGTACTAATATCGTCAACAGTGACATCTGCAAGATCATCTTTGCCATTATCCTGCCCCCTCTGGGTGTCTTCCTGGAGCGCGGATGTGGCGCTGATTTCCTGATCAACATCTTATTGACCATTCTGGGATGGATTCCCGGTGTCATCCACGCCATGTATGTGTTTATTTGACGAGTTTGCAACCTCCTGCGACAATTGCTGACCATGTTACAGCTACATTATCTTCAAATATTAGCGTTACCCACTTCCCACACCCTCGCAACCAAGGCTTTCCAAAGGCTAATATCCCTTGGAAAGCGATGCACTGCGACCAATTTCACAGCCCTTACTCTTGCCTTGCGCGTTGAGTAAAGATCGGTGCGATTCCATATCTTGAACGTCGGTGTCAGCGTGTGATTCCGTGGAGGTCCGGTTGAGACTAGCCTAATGCAGCCTCTACCACTTGGTGTCGGGTCCGACACGAGTCCGGCATGATGTCCATAATTCCCTAATATTTTGAGTGGCCGCATGGTTATTTTTTATTGTGCTTCTTTTCCTTTGTCTTCCTCGATACTGCGGGTTTTGCTTTTTCGTTATGAATGATACCAGCTCATACGGTCTGACTTTGCGTTCTTTCGTACCAATGCCCGCCGTTGGCTAGTTTTTATGGAATGGGATCTTTACATAAACCACCGAGTTCCTTGTGTAGGAACAGTACCGAAGAAGAACCTGTAGATTGGATGAGTACGGGGTACTCCAAACAGGACCTATCGCAACACGCAAAAGAGCAAACCAAACAATATTCGACCCTAACATAATAAGCCCCTGTGGGCCTCAGCCACATCTCCATTTAAATAGTTCAAGTGATTGGTGCAAAGCGTTGCGTTGCATAAGGCGGGTGCAACTGCTTCGTACACTGTTCCGAGAGCATACTGGGGAAGCCCATCAGCAACTCCCGAAAACAAACTAAGCAGGTAACACGACAGGAAGCAGGTGACTTTGGCCACTTCGATCGTCGATCTTCGGAATCTCTGAGCGAGTCGAAGTGTTCCAGAAACAGATAAATCATCGTCAGGCGGGTAACCCGCATTAAAGCGAAACCAACCACAACGCTGTACAGCGCGGCGCGTTCAATTGCCAAAATAAGAAATCCCAGTCACTCATCCAAAAAGTTTGAAATTCTGAAACCTAGCCCGGCGCTATCTACAGCCCGTTCTGCAACCTAAGCGCTTTCGATGGCCCGGCGCGTATCGGAGCCGCTTACCAGGCCCCCCATTCCTGACAGGGCGTTTTAAGCCTACAACGATTCGTCCATTGGGGGGATATTACTATTTCAAATATCGTGCTGTTTCACTATAGCGCCTATACATACACAGCCTCAAGCACTGTGTTTCAGAATGATGTCGAAATGCAGATACTTGGCCCAACAGTCGATGGGCGTCATGGACAGTTTCGCCTCGCGCCTAGAATAATGTCGCGCTCTGACTTCGTGTTTAACTAGATTGGAGTCCCTCTTTTGGTAGTTTGTTTAGCGTTTACTTCTTCTTTCTGGCGTTGTTGCTACGTTCACATATTTACTATTTGATTCACCGATACATCTACCAACTATGGTAACTGCATGTAGAAGTTTCCACGGGTAATCACTCCCATGCAGGACTATACAAGGTTAGTTGATGGGAGAAGGCTACCTGACAGATCATCGCTCACGGTAAATGTGTATAGGGCTACCGCAGCATGCTCCTCATTCCTATCCACAGGATACTCATCGCGATCCTCCTCATACTCACCCTCTGCTCTGCCGCCGAAGATACCTCCAGCGATGCATCAAACTCAGCTCTGTATGACATGGTCCCAGGCTGTGCTAAGGACTGCGTTGATAGCTTCATCAAGTCCGAATATACACCCATGGAATGCAAGTCACCGTCCAATATCAAGTGCCTTTGCCGCACCCCGACAACTAGTAGCTTGACATTGGGGGAAGCGGCTTTGAGCTGTGTTCTGTCTCTATGCCCACAGACAGTCATCGCAAAGTCCAAGGCTTATCACATATGCGACTCGGTATCTGAAGCTCTTCCGAAAACGCACCAGACGATTACCGCGACGGTCTTTTCTGATACGAGTACAAAGAAGCCGAGTGATGCAAAAACTATTTTGGAGACAACATCAACTAGCTCCGCTTCGACTACTAAACACACTTCGGAGGCCTCTGTAACAACATCTACAGCGGACTCAGCATCGACACCGACATCAACTACTTCCAGTCAAGCTTCTGAAATCACATTCTATGATGCTTCTTCATCTTCAGGGTCTCAGGTGGAACCAACATCCTCTACTGGACAAATTTCCAGCAGCTCTTCTGAAGATACGAATAAGAAAGGTGATCATGGTATCACTCCAGCGGCGGTCATCGGAATGTCAGTAGCATCAGGTGTGGCGGGGTCTTTCATCATCGGTGTCGCTGTGTTTTTCTGCTGCAAGAGGTGGCGACGAAAACAGCGGGAACAGGCGACGCCACATGTTTTCGAGATCGGAGGCGCCATGTCTGAGCCTTCTGACTTTTTGAAACCCATGCCACGGCTCCCAGCAGACGGTTCGGGCCCAGGGTCTTCATACAGCCCAGCGGGTGACCGCGAGATAATACAGCGGCCGCGTACTTTCCATTCAATGTCAAGCGTTCAACCAGTGTCGCGATACTCACCGCATTCCGCTACTGTACACCAATCGGGCCAGAGCAAAGAACCTGAATACCAAGAACGAATAGGTTTTGCAATCAGCTCCGAATCGGACTGGGAGTCTTCGCCTCGGACACAATCGTCACAGCACAGCGTAGCACGACTACTCCCAGATCCTAGAGCTGGACTATACCCAAAGCCGCTTAAATGGAGTCATCGCCCACCTAGTGGAGAGACTCTCTTTGAAGAAGACGAAAGTCAACAAGCTGCGGCTGCGGCGGCAACAGCAGGAATGATGCAAAACAACTCCCCGAGACCAGGGATCCAGCCGAAACTCGCAGGACTGCCAGCCAATCCACGCGCATTCAAAAAGGAACCCGCAGCAGGCAACTTCAAGCAAAGATCCGGGGCCCCGAGTGCCCTAGCACCCCCGTTCAATCCCAACCCAGCCTTCAGAGCCTCCACATCAGACAGTAGCGCTGCACCCAATGAAAGCTCCGAAACCTCCGAAACCTCACAGACCTCCTACTCCTCCCTAAACCCGAACATTCTCTTCGCCGCCCCTGCCAACACCACCCATACCCAACTCCAGGAGCGCAGCTTGTCACCAGGACGACAGGCGCCTCAACCCTGTCCCAGCCCATCATCGTCATCAACCCTCCCTCCAGGCTCGGAGATGGTGTCCAGGCCGCGGATCGTCCGCGGAAATGACATCAGACGTGTCGAGATTCGCAACAGTCCACGACCCCCCAGCGAAGTCGTCGCGCCATACTGCCCAGATGATCTGTGGCTGGAGCGTGGACGCGCACTCGCGCCGCCGAAGCCCCGAGAACCGTCTGGGGAACTGCCGTATCCTTCAGATATGTTCCCGGGTGCAGTGCATTATCCTGACAGTCCGAAGAAGCAAGCCGGCGCTGCGTCGAATGGGGTTTCTCCGACTAGTCGGAATTTGACGCCGTCGAGGAGGGGCGATGATTTGATTCTTCGTGTTGATTAGTAGTTTGTTTTCTTTGATGGGATTGTGTAATTTGGGATTCATGCCACCATGCTAGTTTGCTTTCGTTGTATATTACCATGTTCTTTTACCATGTTCTTTCATACGGGCGGAGAGCTTTGAATTTTGTTTGCATTGCATGAGAACATCCATGGATCCAATTGTACGTATAGAAATTTGATGACCGATTGGCCTGGCTGTCTCGTATTAATACATGTAGATTCCTTCTTGGATTTCTTCGTTTTGAGTCTCTTCGGGTCTGAAGATCATCTCTTTTAAACAAAGAAAGAGAACGAAAACGCGTCAAGCGTACAAACCAGGAGTGGACATCCATCCACGGATGGATTGGCGGGGCTTAGATAAGAAGCTGGGGTCCCGCGAAAAAGACCTGCGGAGTACAAAACCCATCACACCCTCCACATATTTCTACATCGTCGTCTGAGGTGTGTTTGTATTCAATATCATTCGTCCTGTTGGCCCATCCCCAATGGCCACTCCAACGGAGCGAACGTTCGTGCAGAGATCCACATTACTGCCCGTCTTTCCTCTGGAGCTCTGGGATATCGTCATTGAATACCTACATGATGAAGAATCTGCCCAACATCTGAGCCGACTTGCTCAAACGTGTCCCGCGCTTTATTCCAGAATTGACCCTCAGCTCTACAAACTTGTACGCCTGTCTAATTCAGAAAGCGGTGCTCGTCTTGCTCTCACGATAGAGAAGCGTCCAGAGTTAGCACCACTCATTCGTGATATTCGACACAAGCACGATGCCGGGTCAGAAATCTGGTCTTACCGTCATCTTAAATTCTACAAGATGGCTGCGACTTTGCCGAATCTGGAGAACTTGAGTTTGAGAAGAAATCCCAGGCCCTTTGATTCTACCCGGTGGGCCAGTAGACGTGCCAGAGATGATGCCATGTTGCAATGGGTGAAAGACGTTGCCTCCGGGTCAGGGAGCATCAAAGAGTACCGAGGGTTGGGATATGGGCCTTCAGGAGAATCGTCGTTCAGTCCTCCATATCACGAGCCTACTCGCATGCAAAGTGGCGCGGACCAAACTTTGTTCTGGCACGCTTCTCTTCAAAACCCGCCGGGGCTGCCCGCTCTGCGCTTTTGTGAGTCTTATGCCTGACTCTATCCATTGAACCGAAGATTTAACGTTGTCAGGTCACATCGGAAGCGACTATAATCATGACGAGCACAATACTAAGATGGACGGTAGATGCTTACCACGTTTCAATGAAGCACTCTTCCGTCATCCGAGTTTACTAAAGCTCTGTATCACTGGCGCTACTTTCCAAATTTCCCACTCTAGCCTTCCTTCGACATTATCTACGTCGCCTCTGGAGGAACTGACACTTTTGAACTGCGTCATAAACCCGTTTGATCTCCAAGCAGTGCTCGAATATCCAACAGCCTTGAAGCGGTTCACCTTCAGAGGCCCTAGGTCACTGGAGATGGTAGATACTGAGGGAGACACCCAATGTTACATTCAATCAGCGCTCTCACACCAAAATTCCCTGGAGTACATAGATTACGATCTTTACTGGGGAGGTGATGTGGACACTGACTTCGGTGAACTAGTCCGCGTCAAGCATCTCACAACAACCCTCGCCACACTTGCAGGGAGGGAATGTATAGAACTGGATCCTGTGGATGACATTCTGCCGCCGAATCTCGAAAGTCTTACGATGCGATACGACGAAGTGAAGGGCTGGCTTCCTTCGGCTATCTACGAGATGGTGAAAGATGGAAAACTCCCAAAGCTGCGCCGCTTTACCTGCGAGGTACCGGAAATCATGGAGCACCTTCCATCAATAAATGTATCCAAGTTCAACCTTCCCGCCACCGAGATATGTCAAGAGGGCAACACCTGGAAAAGCAAGTTTGCGGAGCTGAATGTGGAGATGTCCATGATCTCCGTTCCTTATCCTATTGATATGCCCAAGTACGACGTGTGTTCTTGCGAATGCCTGTCCTTTTACCACCGCATGTTCTACCATCCGCGCAAACCACTGACACTTCCCTGGGAGGACGACTATGGAGAGGAGGACGTGTTCTTTGATGACTGGGCCGATATTGATGATGAAACGGACCTTGATGCTCTTATGGATGACCTTGCGGAGGAGTCCAGATCTGACATCTCAGCCTGAGGGCTTTATATCTTCCAAAGGAGCCATGCTTGTATTCTTTGTCCAGGCCTTCTTGCTTTAGAATTACTTTGTTCAGGCTGTGGGACTGTAGAGATCTCTCTCTCTTCCTTCAACACATTAATGGACTGTCATATTTTCATTCTTGCCTTTTTGATCTCTATCTCAAGATTCTACTGGGATAATTTCATCCGGCACTGAAATAAGCCATGCGGGACCGAAAGACTTGTGTCAAAAGCCTACATGCTAACTGCCAATAACCTTGGGAGTTTCTTGTGGCTGAGTTAACAGAGGATGTGATTGGTGCTAGGGATATCCCATTAATTGTGTCGATATCGTCAAATAAAAATCTCCTAGAGGATAGGAAGTATACATCGTTACATGAAAGCAGTAGAGAAGTCGGCAGGTTCTACCCCAGATTCTGTCGATCGTGATCTTCATGTGTTGGCAGATACATCTCTGGATCTTGATCTCCCGAGGTCTTTCGCTTGTTTCTTTGTCAAGAACTTCATTCCAAATCCTACCTAGATAGTCAACGAAACAAAAACATAGTTTTTCAACTTGGCTTGTAGAAACACTCCAACCTAGGCTCGGACTTATCGCAACCCGACAATACTCAGCTGTCTACGGTGATCGTAACTATTCCCCTCCAACCTATGTGCACAGACTGCGCTCGGATCCAAGCTAAAAGTCAACCATTCGGCTTGCTTTCCCCTCCATACAAATAACCCAGGTGCGAGATTCCCTACACGGAGCTGCTACGGATAGCCGCGCATGGCGCCCTAGGATACGCCCGGTCCACGTTATATCTCTTTATTAAGGGCTGAATTCGCCATAGTCTAAGACTCACTAGCTTGCAGTCCGCAGAATCTCGTGATTAGTTCACAGTATGCATGCGCAGTGACGCTCTGCCAAGTCTGGCAGGTATCCCATATATTATCAGGAGTTCATTGGACCGATTTTACCGCACCAAAGTGTTCATTGCGCTGAGAATTCAGAATAGCAAGACTAGGGCTTCTGCTCTTGGCGCCTACTTTTTCCCGTTTTGGATGTGTATTAATACAGACATTTCGTAGGTACTTGTCAAGCCGCTTTGGTTATGGCTTGCATTCCTTAGCCGAATTGTTGCATGTTAGTCCGAGGCAAGTAGTATCGGCCAGCATGTGGCGCCAACATAACAAGCCCAAGCCCTATTCTTCTTTTCACGCCACTCAGAATCTCAGATTTGGATACCATGATCTTACTTCATGGGGTATAGGGCATAGACCCATGAATGGTTGTTAATTTGCTTTGATTTCCGTTCCTAAGAATGAGATCCAGTTTTGATGACGTCAACGGCCTGATATGCCCTGTGGATGCTACTGCTACTTCCCTGAAACCTCAGGTTCGAAATACGCGATATCTCCGAAGAGACGCTTCTTATGGATATTCCAAGCCTAAACCAGCAAAAAGGCTCGAAGTAGTCCGATCTTGTTAAACCGTGCCAAATTCTACCATCATCATTGGTTATTCTGATTTGCGAAACCTGGAAGCCTCTACGGAGAGTGTGCCAGGCATTCCACTTTCCAAATCCGTACTTGCGTTTCTTCTCTTATCAAATCAGCGCCATCAACCGGACTGTAGCCCAGACAGGTTTCATTCGCCAAGGATATGCCGTTGTGGATCGACAATCACTTTTCTGTTCAGATTTGGTTTAACCCAACTCGAAGAATGACGAGGGATGAGCCTGAACGGAGGCCCCATATCTTTTTGTGGGGGTAAGAGGGTCGATGATGTCAAACCCCGTTCCTTTGGGGCTTTTCGTGCTATATTAATGGCCTGGTCCCCACATGCTCCATCTACATATGTACTCTACAGAGTGCATAGTAACTCATTCCCATTCGATTTGCGCGACTCTATCTGTTTTGATCCTGCAGCCTGCACATCAAATGCCTGCATATCCGCCTGCATTTCAAGGATCGGAATAGCTTGTATGACTACTCTTAACGAGATTTGACGTGAAGTAATTATACACCTCATCAAGGCAGCGATCACCATCGTCATTGTACCCGCCGCCCCACACCCTTCATCTTTCACAATGGCCACAAATAGATTAGGAAGGGTGCGACTCGGCCATGACACCGCTCGGGCCGATCTCTACGGTCCCAACGTCGTCGTCCCTAAGCATTTCATGACCTTCACTTCTGACCATATCTTCAAATCTAATATGGCCAAGCAACAAGTCTCATCTGATACTTCACCAATCAACACGCCTATGCCAAACCCTCCTAAGGTTACGAGCGATGATTTTGCACTAGCATTTGACATCGACGGCGTTCTCATCAAGGGCGGCGAGCCTATTCCTGAAGCCGTTGATGCTATGAAGTATATCAACGGTGAAAACCCATACGGAGTCAGAGTGTAAGTATTTGCCCTGTGTTATTCCATGCTTCCCCTCACCTGGGCAGTCCAGCCCGGTGAGGGGTAACCATTGCCAGCGAAAAAGGATGAGGAATTTGAGATCTAATAGAAATATCCTAGACCTTATATTTTCTTGACCAACGGTGGCGGAAAGACAGAGAAAGAGCGATGCCTCGATCTCAGCAAACAACTTGACCTGGAAGTTGACCCCGGCCAGTTCATCTGTGGCCACACACCCATGCGCGAAATGGCAGAGCGATACCACACCGTCCTAGTTGTTGGTGGCGAGGGTGAGAAATGCCGGGTCGTAGCTGAAGGGTACGGATTCAAGGATGTTATCACACCCGGAGATATCATCAAGACGAGACACGATACTACGCCGTTCCGAACGTTGACGGATGAGGAGCATGAGAATTCCCGATTGCTCGACCTAGACAAGGTCCGCATCGAAGCAATCTTCGTCTTCGCAGATAGTCGCGATTGGGCCGGCGACCAGCAAATCATTTTGGACTGCCTCATGACCAAAGACGGCTGGTTGAATACACGGTCGGAGATCTTTACCGAAGGTCCACCTGTCTTCTTCTCGCACACCGATGTGGTTTGGTCAACATCGCATGAACATTCACGTCTTGGAATGGGAGCGCTGCGCGCTTCCCTCGAGGCCGTTTACACGGCTATCACCGGCAAAGACCTGAACACAATCGCCTTCGGCAAGCCGCAGCTCGGAACTTATGCATTTGCCACCCGGCTTTTGCAAGAGTGGCGAAAGGACTCCTGTGGTATTGACAAATCTCCATCTACCGTGTACTTCATCGGCGATACTCCGGAGTCCGATATCCGTGGGACAAATGAATTCAACGAGACCACGGAAAATGACTGGTTCTCGATTTTGGTTAAGACTGGGGTCTACCAGGATGGTGCTGTCCCGCGCTATCCACCCAGGGAGATATGCGATAATGTTTTTGATGCCGTCAAGTTTGCTATCGAGCGCGAGCACCGAAAGACTTCCAAGGGCATCACTGTTTCCGAGCTCGACTATGAGACCAGCGAAGAAGTTCCCAAATAAGCGGATCACGGTATGATGTGATCTTTTTTCACTCATGGCTGCGCTTTCTCGACAACAAATTTCGCGTCTTCAATCTAGTCCATTCCTACATTTTCTTCACGATGTGTTCTGATATGATTCCCAGCCCTTGAAATTCTGCATTTTGTCTTCCATGGTACAGGTTTTTTTACACATACAGTTTCAATATTAGATATCTTCCCTACATAGTACTATGAACCCTTAGATGGATTCCACAATGATCAATGACAAAGAAACGCTCCAAATTATATACAATAATATGTAGTGCCGATATCCATGACGAGGAGAGGTCTAAAAATTAGAAGCCTGAATATTGAGGCATTCCGCCCTGTGGTTGGCATGACCCACCATAGGTACGGGATCATACGGGAAGAAAGTCCTGGCGTGCAAACAGAACTTCTCTCGCTGAACAGTTTATCCAGGATATTCCTTAGCGTAAAAGCGGCACCAGTAAAAATAATGGTACGAACTCCCCGGCTTTAACCTGACATATCATCACTAATGTGCCAACTCAGGTCCCCAGAACAGAGGCAGTGTACCTTGATGATGCCACACTGCGGACATTGACGACGGAGGTTCTCTCCTGCCAGTCAATAACTTCGCTCTCCGAAGAAGAAAAAGGCTTAGCCAAAAATGTACCCGCGGAAGATAACGCAATCATCATGCGCCAGACTATCTTTTACGCACAAGGCGGAGGACAGCCCAGCGATACCGGCGCAATTGGACCAGTAGACCAAGATTCCACATTTGAAGTCTCGCTGGTACGTAAGACGCCCGATGGACGGTTCCTGCATTTTGGAAAATTCCTGGACGCCTCGTCTTCCTTCGTCGCAGGCCAGCCTGTTGTTCAGAAGGTCGATGACTCAAAACGCAACTATCATTCCCGGCTCCATACGGCTGGTCATATCGTTGGACTGGCTATGCAGCTTCTGATGCCGGATAAGAAAAAGGTCAAGGCGAATCATTTCCCGGGGGAGGCTTCTATGGAGTATGAGGGGCTGTTGTATAATGAACTCAAGCCGGTTATCCAGGAGAAGGTGGATGAGCTTGTACGGCTGGACCTGCCCATTCTTATTTCCTGGCTGCAGCTTGACGCGCAGGTTGGGGATATGAAGGGTGCTGAAGAGGGTCGTTCTCTTGATGGTCGTACCCGGATTGCGAGTATAGGTGGGCTCGATCACAATCCCTGCGGTGGTACTCATGTTGCGAGGACGAGCTTGGTTGGGTCTGTTGTTATCCGCAAGATCAGTCGGCAAAAGGGAACTAGTCGTGTGTCTTATGATATCTCTCCAGGCATCGACGCATAGCTTTGAATCTTGTAACTATGGTCATACAAAGTAATCTTCGAGGATCAATAGGTGGGATGTTGAGACTATAAATATATGCTCCAACGCTCGAGAAAGGCTTTGTGTTTAACCACAAGGTCATAACTCGAACTCATTGTCTAGCCAATGCTTCATCACAATCTTGCCCTCTCTAAACCCATCCTTCTCGGCCCGGACGATGATAGCTGCATGGC